AGATATTAACTTTGTTTATTTTACTTACTCTTGTCAGCTGCCACTTAGTTGATCAAATCTGAGAATTTGAAAAAGCACTGTATAGCTTGAAGTACTTAAATAAGACAATGTTGATAATATAGATAATAAATTACAGACAAGACTGTCAAACTTTGTAACAAACCGTTGGTAAAACTTCTGTATCTAGATACGTAACGCATAGACTACTATGATGAGATACACACACCTCTAGTATATATATATATATAATTATTAAAATGTGAACTTTTATGACATATCTTTCTTTCTTAAGTTAATTTCCATTCATTAAAAACATCCATATCTAACAGTCCCTATAATGGAATATTTCAATTGCCTTTCTTCCGGCTTGTTATTATAATGGATTCTTCGCAGAAGAATTTTTAGAAGAAATGCGAAGCACTTCGATCTCTGTGTAAATCAAAAGTGTAATAAACACCACAATCAAACAGCTAATAATCTTAACATATCTAGTGTAAGTTACCACCAAGAAAAGTACAAACTACATCTCACTTCGACATCTTTATTTGTGTATGCTTGATCGAATTTAACAAAATTGTTATCGTCATAAATGTGTTTATTTATTCATCTTGTCATATAGACGACTATTTAAATATGGCTTTTGTCATAAATTTCAGACATATAAAATACAGCAACTTAATGAATGTTTTATATTGGAACTAATTAATAAAAATGGGAGAGAGTAGTGAAGATAAAAATAAGTTCCAAACACAAAACCAAGAACTACGATAAAACATTAGTTATCCAGTTGACAAAGTAAAACTAAATTATAGTGTTTCTCGATATATTCTCTACTTTAGGCAATCAGTGGTAAGCAAGCTCTTTGTAACACAAAAATTTGCGTTCAATCCGCCTGGCGGCCACAAAATAAATAGACCATTGTGAAGCTGTGCGATTAATAAGTGACAAACATTTATCTGTATAAACTACTCTCATGCTTGTTAGTACTCAGGTATTCAAGCGACATCTAGAGATTGTATCATAATAGTTGTAGATTAATAAATTATTTATTGATATATATATATATATATACGTATGTAGCCAATAGGATAAACTGCCCGTGTTTCATGTACATTTATTGATTATTTTTGGAAAATATGTAGTTCAAATGAAATGTTTTTAACCCATAAACATGTTAAAGTTATGACCTCTACGATATATATTACAAGTATAACTATATTCTAATATCTTGTTAAGGCATCATTTTTTACATAAATTAAAGATTGAAATGCTAAAAAATATTTCATATTTAGGTGGCACTTTCCCTAAGACTTCTTTTTAACACGAAATGATTTGAGTGTCATAATTAAGTTAATTAATAAATATAATTTTTTTTTCTTTTTTCCTCCTACATTTAATATTCCAAAGACCAAAACAACTGTTAACTTCTAAATAGTTTTTAACAGGGAAGAGTTGGTTTATAGCAATTTGTTTCATTTCTTGATAATATATTGACTATTGTTATATAATATCCTCTGGAAAATTCTCTGGCAGTCCTTAACTCAACATAGAAATAAGATTTCATTCTCTAAACACCTTATCTACTTTTCATTCTACTAGATAATATAATATTTTCTACTTAGCAACGTGAATTTTAAACTGTGGCTACATGTGCTCAATTTGTATTACTCATTGTTCTGTTTGAGTATCTCTGTGGAAAAAAACAAGAAAGAAATATGAAGTTCAGTCGCTGATTTGTCACTTATAGGTTATTAGAAAATATCTTATGTTAACGAGATCGGAGCTAATATTCTTTTTAAGTACTAGATTTATTATGTGATGACAACCCCCTTGTAGACGCAAGGGCCATTCTGACCTTCTAAGAGGGTTGGCCATAGATATGTCTTGATCTCTTGCGAGTCTTGATTGGACGAATGAAATCGCACATGAATATTCCTGTTAAAAGTACGAGTTTCGAAACTTATTACGTAAGGTGGAGACTGATTGGTTAGACCCCATGCCAGTCTGACGCAATCCCTAATGTACAGAAGTAGTCCTTCACAGGTCTTGAGCGACGGATAGTCGTATAAAGTGGCCCAGATCTGGGAACAAACGTCCTGAAAGTATCCAAATATTGCATATAAATCTAAATTTACACAGTAGAGAAAGTTATAACTTAACAGTTTCAACATTGTACTATATAGACAAAATATTACTCATATAAAGACTTTCATTCTCTCTTTTTATTTATTTTGTTTTATTTTTACAAATTAAAACAAAATACAAAATATCTCCTGATGAACATTAACACAAACTACATCTCAATCAAGAAAGATTGTGAGACAGTTTTCCCGAAGCATTACAATACTATAAACCTTTTTCTTCGTGTACAGAACAAAATGTGCAAACAAATTTATGTGGTTAAGAAATCTAGGGGCGTTATATACCAATATTGACAGTCAGTACTACCCCCTTTATTTTTTCATTACAAAATCATTGCGAATAAAATAAGCATACTGACTCGCCCTTATAATAGTAATACAGTAGCTATAAATATATTCCTAACCACATCGTATTACTTTTATTATACATTATATAGTGTTATAAATAAATTCTTTCTTCATATAGAGCTCTTCCTAAATGAGTTATTGGATGAATAAATTACTTTCAAGCAAACGAATAATAATAGAAATAGATATACAGGAAGATATTCTTGGAATTATCTAGAACTAACATTTTACATCTCTTATACTTTGAGAAAATTGTATCTTTGAGTTAATCGATACCCACTTTTTATACATATTTTCTATTGCTATATGTCTACATATATTATTATAAATTAATTTACGAATGTTGGTTTATAAGTAAATTACTTTATTATGCACTGCGTCTGTCGGTTTATATCTGCTATAACTTATTGTATATTGATTTGTTGGTTATGTCTATATTACCTCATTATATATAAATTACGTTTGCCGGTTCATATCTACATTACCTCATTTTGTATGTAGGTTTCTTGGTTATAACTCCAATAACTTATAAAACATACGTTTGACAGTATATATTTACATTACTTCATTGTTTATTAAGTATCTTGTTTTATATCTTCATTAACTTATCATGAACCATGGTAGCGGTTCGTAACAGGATTCGCCCATTTATTCTTCTTTATTATTATTTAATATTGTTCCGCCAGTCTACAGCACAAATGGCTGTGAGTATTGTAACAAAACCAGGGCAGTATTACTAAACGCATCATTGCGCACGGCAGGGTAGATTTTAAGTTTATTTGACAACATAGCAAGTAACAGCGACTGTATAACTGTTGACACCCAATTCTTTTAATGTAGTCTGTGGTTTATATGGAGCCTCATAATCTACCACATGCATACAAAGATAACTGCGTGCAGGCCGTGGATGCAATTTAACGTTTATATGGCAGACATGACACATATACCATAGCAATTATTAACTTGGTCAGGTGGTTAGGGCGCTCGGCTCACAGTCTGAGGGTCGCGGGTTCGAATCCCTGTCACATCAAACATGCTCGCCCTTTCAGCCTTGGGTGCGTTATAATGTGACGGTCAAAAATGCTTATTCTAAATATATTATGGCACATTGTTTTATATTTGCATTAAATATGTATGCATGCACGTATACAACTTTAAAATTCATGTGACTATCAATATATACGGCTTTGCAACTTAAAAAAACCCTATAAAGCATGCATGTATATATGTAGATATAAATACTAACCAACATGCACTGCATGCATGTATAAAACTCATGCGGTTACAAAATCCATTCCATGCCCCATTCCAGTATAGTTCATTAGTCCCTTCAATCCAGTGTTTACAGATCCACATATAGCTACAGGGTATAAATATATCACCATGCATCATAGTGATGATACATACAGTATCATTATCAATGATAACATTGTGGTAATAATATCAAGAGGAATAGCCATCCAATCTGCATGAAATCAATTCAAAGGTTGTCGTTGTTTCCCGAGTGAGCAGCATACACCAACTAAACTAAACTGTTTCGAATAGAACAGTATTGCTGAGTTATGTCCATGATGGACATAAAAAAACAAGATTATTTCTAATTTTTGATTGAAAAATGGGGAACATGGATCTTCATAAAAGTACAGAAACAAGATAGGTAGATTATAGTGAAAATGCAATTGCAAAAAAATATAAACAAACAAGCTTAAGGTTTGAAGCATAGTGTTGGCATTACTTCCTCAAGCTGTAAATCCCTATTTTGACTCCATGTCTAAAAGCTGTAATATTTAGGAGAGCCAATCAAAAGATATACATAAATATATATATAGCTATACAAAAAATTTCAAGTATGTTTTTTTTTTTACTAAGAACTTTTACTATTATCTTCATTAAATCTTTCTTTTAAAACAAGTATGGAAGTTTATTTTTAACCTAGCATGGCTTGGCGGTTAGGACGATGGAATCCGATCATCTAACATGCTCGCCATTTCAACTATGGGGGAGTTATAGGCCATTGTGTAGCTCTGCGGTTTATATGGTCGTGCATGGCCAGGTGATAGGGCGTTTGACTCCCAATCTGAGGGTCGCGGGTTCGAATCCTCGTCCCACCAAACATGCTCGCCCTTTCAGCCGTGGGGGCGTTAAAATGTGACGGTTAATCCCTCTATTCATTGGTAAAAGAATAGCCCAAGAGTTGGTGGTGGGTGGTGATGACTTCCCTCTAGTATTTCACTGCTAAATTAGGGACGGGTAGCGCAGATAGCCCTCGTGTAGCTTTGCGCGAAATACAAATCGGTTTATATATATTTTATTACATATTACGTTTGTCAGATTATATTTATTTTTTGCTCATTATTTATATACTACGTTTGTCGGTTTACATCTATTTATTAGCTTATATAATTATTGCGTTTTTCCAGCCCATTTACATTTATATTACTTACTATGTACTGCGTCTGTCAGTTCTTTGTATATTAGTTTATGACATATGTATAAACACCTGTCAGTTTATGTGTACATTTGCTCTTTGTATATTACATACATCGGTTTAGGTGAAAGTTTAATACCTAGATTAACTTTTGTGTGGAATTTATAGCTCTTAAAATATATTTCTAAATACCTTGTTTTGTGTGTGAGCGAGTGTGTAAGTTTATAAGTAAATTCTAACAAAATTACGAAATTGGCACGTACCTCAACATTTATATTTATGTCAAACATATCAACCGTGCAGCGAAGATACGAGTCTATAGAAGCATCTAATTCCTTAGAAGCTACTTCTGAGTTTACATCAAGAACTGAAACTCGTGGAATTTGAAGAATATGGCGAAGTTTACTTTTAATATCTGACACAGTATTCTGTACGGAGCTGAAAGCAAGCTGTGAACAAAGTACAGGAAACTAAAATACAATAATTCTTGTTGATATGAAATGTATATTTTTTTAGATAACATCTAATACAGATTTCTCTTGTTCAGCTGTTATGATTTTATGACATCATAACTATATATATATATATATACAGAGAAAGATGGTAAAAACACCCGGGTTCTCAAGATAATACAAATGAATTCAAAGGATTTAATAGAAAAAAGAATATGTTTCTTTAATAAAATAGAGCTTTAGAAAATTATAGAAACCAAACATTTTTTTTCATCACGTTTCTATTTTAAAGATGCTCCTTACAGTCTTCAATATCGTTGATATGGTTATCCTTAAAAATATTATCAAGCATAAAAACTCCAAAACTGCTTATGTTTATAAAATTAATCTGAATAATGTTAAAGTGTGTGAGTGTGTTTTACTGCATTAAATTTATGTTGTGAAAAAACACAACAAGAAATTACAAATTTTGATAGAATTTCGTTTCAAACGTCATCAAGTGTAATGTGCTCACCAAGTTTTGTTCAAGTCTTATCACTAGGAATGAGATTTTCAGAATAAAAAGTTTAAACACTAAAATAGATAAATGGCAAAAAGTTGCAGAAAAGGTACCTTATATTTAAGAATCAAGAACATATGCAGAAAGCCAATTTATATTTTATAAAGTAGAAACAGCAACAAAAAAATACACGTACGATAAAAAGTGCGCCATCCCTAGAAATGTTTAGAATACGAAGAAATCAATAAACTAGAAATTCGCCTATAAAATAAAATAAAGGCTTTGTCTAGAAGACGCATAAACTGAACAAGCTATGAGAATGCTTAGACAATTTACATGTTCGTGAGATGAATACATTAAAAACACATAACTAGAATACTGACCACCACAACAGAAAACAATAACTTGGACTTCAGTTCATCAGAGCTTTGAAGTTCCGAAAAACTTTCCAGCGTATCCAGTGTATCGACACGAGCTTGTGCGTATAAGTTACCATAGCGACGGATTAAAGCCGTTGGTCTCCTATCACCAAGGGAGACATTTTCAAACTTTACACCACGGTCTAACATTTTTTGGGCCTGTTGAGCTAACCTAAAAATAAAAGAGGTGTTTGTTTTGACATTTTCTCACTATATAAGCTCTCAGAGTAATAAAAAATCTTTAAAGTTCAATGTTATCTATGGATTTTATTGTTTCTTATCGTGTTTTGTTATGTTTTAAATAATTTATCATTTGTCTTATATTTAAAAGATACCTCAGTATAACAATTTTTGCATGCAACGTTAAACACGACTTAAATCGTATCATGGGTTGCTTCATTGTTTGAAAAAAGATTTGATTGGAACTCTAAACGTTCTGCTAGTTTTCCGACTTTTTAAAATAAAGTTAAACAAAATTCCTTCTAGTTCTTTTCACCCTTTTCGAGTATAGTTAAGCTTTCTACTAATCCATTCTGTCGTTTCAAAATAGAGTTTTCATTAATATAGTTCTTATGCTGGAGGAACTATAATTCTAAAAATAATGTTAAAGTAACGGTACTTATAACCAGTTCAAAAGTTGATATGAATATATCTTTTCAAATGGTTTTATGTAGACATAACATAATAAAAAAACTACAACATTGTTGTCACAGTTATCAGTTATTGTATAAATTTAAACATAACTTCTTTGGTTGACATTTTAGAAATTTGTTTTACCTGTCTTTCATTAACGTTTCCCTATTTTGCATAGCAGCTATTGTCTTTTTAGCTTTATTAAGCTCAGACCGTAATAGCTGTACTTCCTTTGCTTGTGATTTCACCTCCCAAAGGTCAGTGCGTGTGTCATCATTTAATATGGCGCCTTCGTTAACCCTACCGGAGTTGTTATAGGATACTAAAACATACAAAACATATAGAGAGAAATATCAAGATATTTTGCTCATTAACAGGCTTCTTAAATTACAACGAAAGTTTTTCATGACACTACTGAGAACAGTATATAAAAACGAAAAGCAATTTAATGTTACTGGTAAAGGCAGATCAAACTTGCTAAATGTGTAAGCATATATTTTCTCCTTCCAAAAAGTACTATATCCAAACAATTTTAACTGAGAATTCTACAAACTTTTTTACTCTTAAACTAGTATTTCACACATATATCTTCTAGTCTCTATTGGAGGCACATAAGTTAAGAGGTAAAACCATATAAGTAAGCATTAATTATGATGCATTAACTAAATTTAAGTCAAGAGGTAACACCATATAAGTAAGCATTAATTATGATGCATTAACTAAATTTAAGTCAAGAGGTAACACCATATAAGTAAGCATTAATTATGATGCATTAACTGAATTTTTCTTTATTAATTATTTTCGTTTTAGAACTTCTCAGAAAAGTAAATCTACAAAGTAGTGAATGAATATTTTTCGGAAAAACGTAAATGGGCGGTACTCTATTATTTAACAATATTTTTCTTAGGTATTTCATTACTCGTAATTTGTTCTACCCCTTTGTTTATGAGTCAAAATCAATCTCGAGCTCACGGTGTGGTTTTTGAAGCAAAAGTACTTTCGGAATACAACTGTATCACTGAGTGTTTCTGTAAAAAAAAAAAAAAAGGATTAATTACTGTACAGATATTTAGGTTATACAAATCCGCAATACAAAGCATGTTTCTTTGATGTTCTGAGAGTTCTTCCAATAGTCTTTCTGTGAAGTGTTTCTTGAAACGTATTTGAACAAACATGTTAGATCTATACAAAGTAGTATAAATATCCAACTTTACTTATGTCTTTACTAACGAACCTAAGGGGTACTATAATGCAAATTTAATGCTTAAGTTACTATTTTGCACTTTTACAGTTTAGTGATCATTGCCGCTATAACGCAAATTCAATTTCGTTAACCAAGTTACGAACGATAATTAATAAGTCTACTTATTTACGTGCTCAAATGTATATTAGTGCCAAATTTTGGGCTCGCTTTCAGGAATCCTCGTAAAAAATTTTTTTCGCGAAATACCCTGGTTCCCTAAGAGATTGGGAGAAAAGTTTTACCTTTATGCAAACCTCGGTGCCGAGACGATTCGTTTGGCATCATTTATAAATCGGTGAGTCCAGCAGTTAAGGAGGACTTATATAACACACACACTGAATCTTATTATAGAGAATACAGCAGGTTTAGTTCAAAGTAAAAACTTTCATTAGGTATCACCTATTTACCATTAGAGTATCATTAGCTATCACCTATTTACCATTAGAGTATCATTAG